AAAAAAAGAAAGAAAGAAAGAAAAAAAGAAAAAGAAAAGAAAGAAAGAAAAAAGAAAAAAAAGAAAACCATGGTGCTAGAAGCATTTTAGAGAACTCTGACAGTTTGGTGGAGTTAACTATGCACCTATCCTAGGATTAAGTGGTCCCACCTTTATGTATTTACACAAGAAAATAGCATACTAAAGACTTATACAAGAAAAACATGTTCCCAATAAAAGTGTAAAGAATGTTTATAGCAGCCCTATTCAAAGAGCTAACTGGAAACCATGTGAATCTCCATAGACAAAGGTCTAGAAAAATAGCCACATGATAGAACACTACTAAAAAGTAAAAGGAAACACTCTATGCACGTGGTAATAGACTCAAAATGGTAAAAACTGTAGGGTATACATGAGTGTTTGAGGAGGATCCAAGAGTGTGTTGACGGCTAAGAAGCTGGGAGAAATTTCTCTAAGGATAGATTTGTCCATACTTCATTTTTGGTGATGATATACAAATCTATAAAATTATTGAAATTTGTCAACCTGTGCAACAAAATCTCAACATTTTTGTATGTAAACTTTATGTAAAAAGACGATGTCTGGTAGTTGATTTATATATGGTTCTCCTATTCTAACTTGGACATTTACATGGATCATGATTACACTAATCAGTCAGATTTTCATTACTATAACAAAGCATCTGTGGCAGGTCACTTTATGAGAAATGGTCTCTTTAGCATATATATTTGAAGGCTGGAAGTCAAAACATCATGGCACAGGACGGGGAAGGAACTCCTTGGCCACATTAAGATCCAGTGGGCCCTACTGCTTTTGCCTGTGGTCCTTGGCATTCATGCTGAGAGAGCCCAAGGTATACAGTGTGTCACACAGCAGGATTCTAAAGAACACATCTGTATCTGTATGTATCTCTGTCATGTGGGATCTCTCTTCATATGAAACCACTAGAATTCAGCCGTGGACGCCCTACCTAAGAACTTAATCTAATCTAATCATTTCCCAGAGGCCCCACTTTAGACATCATAGTCAAAGTAAAAATTCACTCGTCTCAGTTAGGGTTTCTATTGCTGTGATGAAACACCATGACCAAAGTAACTTGGGGAGGAGAGGGTTTATTCGGCTTATAGTTCCACATCACAGTTCATCATCAGAGGAAATCAGGACAGGAACTCAAGCAGAGGAGGAACCTGGAGCCAGAAGCTGATGCAGAGGTCATGGAGGGGTGCTGCTTGCTGGCTTGCTCCCCATGGCTTCTGTTTTAGTCAGTGTTCTATTGCTGTGAAGAGACGTCATGACCACAGCAATTCTTTTAAAAGAAAGCATTTAATTGGGGCTTGTTTACATTCAGAGGTTTAGTCCATTATCATCATGGCGGGAAGCAGGGCAGTGCACAGCAGACACGGTGCTGGAGGAGCTGAGAGTTCTACATCTGCATCTGCAGACAGCAGGGAGAGAGAGAGAGAGAGAGAGAGAGAGAGAGAGAGAGAGAGAGAGAGAGAG